GGCCAGACGAGGCCTGACGGGGCCGCTGACGGGGCCTGAATGGGCCTTACGGGGCCTGACGGGGCCGTTAACAGGGCCTTACGGGGCCGTAAACGGGGTCGACGGGGTCTTACGGGGCCTTACGGGGCCTTAAGCGGGGCCGTAAACGGGGCCTAACTGGGCCTTAAGGGGCCTTACGGGGCCATACACGGGGCCGACGGGGCCTTACGGGGCCGTAAACAGGGCCTTACAGGGCCGTAGGGGCCTGACGGGGCCTTACGCGGCCTTAAGGGTAGGCGCGACGCGCGCGGCAGGAAGGTGAGGAAAAAAAAATTCAGTTGAAGACGTGGTAGGCCCTTAGGATCGAAAATTGATCTATACCTTGTTAGAATCCTAGCGTGACTTAGGAGCCATGGCTAGTGAGTTTGAGGGTAAGGAAAGTATCGAGAGAGTTGAGAAGGAGAATGAGGGTTTCACTAAAGGTTCAAGGGTACAAATATGAAAGAAGTGAAGCAAGGTGCACCACCTAACAAGCAAGATAACTACACTAAGTCTACATTGCAGGCAGTTATAAAGTGATGTATACAATAACATTCTGACAGTAGACTGGCCGCCGGAGGCTCCACTGGGCACCAGGAGGAAACGACCCAGTGAAGCCAGGTGGGCGGTGCAGCCAGATCTCCTCGTGCAGGCTGCCCTGTAGGAAAGCAGTGCTGAAGTCAAGAGAGAAGCTCATAGTCGCGCTGAGCGGCAATGTGCAGCAGCACCCGAAGAGTGGTCATCTTCAGGGTGAGAGAGAAGGTCTGAAAGTAGTCAACTCCCTACCGTTGACTGAAGTCTCGAGCCACGTAACGTGCCTTGAAGATAGGCGGAGAACCCGGCGGCCGCTTCACCCTGAAAATCCACATGCCACTGACGATGTTCGCCCCAGGTGGGGGAACCTCGTCAACGTAGGTGCGTATGGACTTCCAGGAAGCCATCTCTGCGTCCATGGCTGACTGCCACTGAGAGGAGTAGGGACCCTCTATTGCCTCAGCGTAAGAGCGCGGAGTCGGGATGTCTAGTGCATCCTGGTCTCCCTCAGGGGCAATCAGCATGGACACGAGATGAGGTAAAGCAGCAGCAAAACATTGGAACTCCTCGTGCCTGTCCTCAAGGACGTCCGTGCTAAGAGCACACTCACCCTCGACGGACGAAGGACAGACACACTCAGACTCAGCAACAAGAATAGCAGCGTAGTCTAGACGACAGCGAGCAGCAAAGTCGACAAGCTCAGCAACTAAGGCAGACGCAGCAGTGGACTCAAAGGAAGGGTCAGTGACAACAGTAGCCAGGAGACGCGTGACTGTAGGACTGTCAGCACGAAGGGAGTCAGACTCCGGGCTAGTAAGAGCAGGAAGAGAGGACTCTGGAGGAGACGGCAAAGGGACACGCAGTGTAGTAGTGGAAGGACGCAGCGCCATCTGGTGCGTGCCCCGGGCCGTAGGAGGACGCTGACGCGGAACATGAAGACTAGTGCGAGCAGCACGAACAGGCGATGCAGGACGAGACACAGGCTCACGACGCTCAGCAAGACCTCCAGTAGGACCAGTGTAGGGAGAAGGAGCAGGCTGTAACTGTGACTCGGACTGGACAGGCAGTGGACACTCTAAGGAAGGAGCGGGACCAGTAGAGGGCGGAAGACCAAGAACCTGCTCAAGGAGCGGACCGAAGTACAACCGTGGCTGCGGAGCACCTCCACAACCAGCAGGGACAGTACCAGCACCCCCAGGGTCGGCCCCGACTCCAGCAGCTCCACCAGCTCCAGGAGCAGTAACTCCAGCACCCAAAGGAGCACTAGCACCGGCAGCACCTCCTGCTCCAGCACCTCTAGCAGCTCCAGCTCCAGCAGGACCACCGGAAGACTCAACAACCCCAGTTCCAGCACCTCCAGCAGCACCTACTCCAGCAGCATCGCTAGCTCCAGCACTGCCAGCAGCCCCAGCACCAGGAGCACCCTCAGGCCTAGCACCTCAAGTACCTCCAGTACGAGCAACTCCGGGACCCGTGGCGCCAGCACCCCCAGCAGCAGTAGAACCTCCAGCTCCGGCAGCATCTCCAGCTCCAGCAGCACGGCTCCAACGCCGAGCAAACCACTCGCGCAACTCTTGTGGAGAGGGTAGCTACTACCGGAACGAAGCACCCAAAGGACCTCCAGACCCAGTACCGCGAGACTCCACACGAGAAGGCCCAGCACCCTCAGGCTCCGCACCCCCAGTCTCAGCACCCTCAGGCTCAGCACCCCTAAACTCAGCACCCCCATGCTCAGCACCCCCAGACTCAGCACCCCCAGACCCCGCACCCGCAGGCTCAGCACCCCTAGCAGCACCAGAGTCAACAGCTACCTCGACAGGCTCGACCGCGTCTACCTACAACACACTTGAGGGGGCAGGACCCTGAGTGGGAAGGGGGTCTATCGGGGGGGGGGGGGGACAGGCGCGAGGAAGAGCGGCGGCGGGGGGAGGGGTGCAGTGTGGTAGGGGAAGAGACGGTAGTAAGGAACTGACTCGTCAAACGTGACGTCCTGGGAGGACAGAATACGGCGGGAGGTGGGGTGGTAAAACTGCCAACCAGGCGCGTCAGGGGGTTAGCCAAGGAAGACCCAGGGAACAGCACGGGGGGACAGCTTGTCCCCAGACAAGTCGCGGACAAAAGTTTGAGATCCCCAGACACGGAACGCAGACGCATCGCCAACCTTCCCCGTCCACCGCAGAGTAGGGGAGGTCTCCGGCAAGGAGACCGGGGCTGAAGGTTGATCTGATGCACCGCGTACCGAGCCGCGAATTGCCACAGAAAATGGGGAGCAGCCGCATGGATCTTGGACGTACGAGCAACGTCCATGGCCATGCCAATGCAGCGCTCAGCAATCCCATTTTGCTGTGGAGAGGCCGTAAGCGTGAACGTCAGGCAGATGCCCCGTGCACGACAGAAGGCTCGCAAAAGGTCAGAGGAAAACTCTCCGCCTCTGTCGGAGTGCAGACGCAGAATAGGAAAGTCCGAGCCGAAACTGTCTCTGAGCTGGAGACGAGCTGCGCGGATCCAATCGATCAACACCTCAGTGACCTCACCCTTGCTGCGCAAGGGGAAGACTGTGATGTAACGCGAGTAGTCGTCAACTACCAGCAGGAAGTAACGCTCGTGACCCGGTCCACCAACGCGGGCGGGGCCCCATACGTCCATGTGAAGCGTCTGCAGTGGAGCCTCTGTCGGAGGAAACTCGGAGGAGTGAGGAGCGGCGCGCTACCGCCCCTCGACGCAGGGAACGCAGGTAGGGGCAGGCCCTGGGGGAAGGGGAGGGAGGGACCGGGGGAGACCAGAGACAAGGATACGGGAGGCCATGCCTCGGAGACGAGGCAGGGATGGGTGACCAAGGCGGTGGTGCCAGAGGATTGTCTGGTGGGACAGGAGGTGACAAGAGCAGGGGGCAGACTCAGGACCAGATCGGGACGCTGCAGCAAACACCTAACCCGATGCGGCTACCTGACCAGACTCAGCAACCGGAAGAGACACAGTAGTCAGGGTGTACAAGCTCGACCTAGGTTGACGAGTGAACGTGGGCAGGTGCCGACCCATCCAAGTACACGAATAGTGGGTCACGCGCTGACCTCCAGGATTGAACTGGTCAACCCACGCGTCCTGAAGGTAGATCCACTCACCAAGTTCGTGGAGAACGAGGGGAGGTGGAGGCCGGACAAAGAGCCAGACGGGACCGCCGGACACGGCAGAATTGTGGAGGAGTGTGCAAGGACCGGACCCCCAGAGGGGTTAGCCAGAGAGACTGCCACCGGCCGGCTGAGCGGCGAGAGTGTGGTGCTGTAGCGAAAGAAGGAGCAGGAAGCACCCGAGTGAAGGGTGAAAGTGTGCAAGAACTGAGCCGACGCACTACCTGAGAGAGCAGCCTCACCAGCACCTGGAGCAATAGACTCACTAGCACCTAGAGCAATAGCCTCAATGCCCGGGTCAGGCGGAACACACATGTAACAATCACCCTCAGCACCAATAGAAACAGCATACATAGCAGCAAGGATAGCATCATAATCAAGATCAAAGATAGCAACCCCTGACTTAAGCAGATCACCCCAGAGGAGAGTCTGGTGGGACAGGAGACGACACGAGCAAGGGGCAAACTCAGGACCAGACCTGGACGCTGCAGCAAAGACCTGACCCGACGCAGCGACCTGACCAGACGCAGCAACCGGAGGAGACTCAGTAGTCAGTGCGTACAGGCTCGACCTCGGCTGACGGGTAAACGTGGCCAAGTGTCGGTACACGTGTAGTGGGTCACTCGCTGACTCGTAGGAGTGAACTGGTCAACCCCCCCATCCTGTAGGTTAGCACCACTCACCAAGTTCGTAGAGAACGAGGGGAGGTAAAGACCTGACAGGATGCCAGAGGGGGCCGCCGGACACGGCAGGACAGTGGAAAAGTGGGCAAGGACAGGACCCTCAGAGGGGTGTGCCAGGGAGACCGCAACCGGCCGACTAAGCGGCGTGAGTGTGGTGCGGTCTTGAAAGAAGGAGCAAGAAGCACCCGAGTCAAGGGTGAAGGTGTGCAAAACCTGAGCCGACGTGGTACCTGAGAGAGCAGACTCACCAGCACCTGGGGCAGCAGACTCACCAGCACTTGGAGCAGCTGACTCACTAGCACCTAGAGCAGCAGCCTCACTAGCGCCTAGAGCAACAGCCTCAATGCCCGGGTCAGGCAGAACATGACAAAATGTAAAAGTTAACTAAAGAACACAAAGTACAAATAAGATATATGAAAACCTAACCCTAGTGCAAGTACGAAAACAACACAAGGGAGAGCACCTAGACTAGAACTACACAAGCTATATGAATATAGTTTGACAGGATACACAGGTAACAGTCACCCTCATCACTAGTAGACACAACATCATGGCAGCAAGAATAGCATCAAAATCCAGATCAAAGATAGCAACCCCCGACCTAAGCAGCTCGCCCAAGCAGGAGATCTTAGTGGCGTCAGGGAACTGGAGACGCCAGGCGTTTGTCAGGCGGCCGAAGTGCGGTGGTGTGCGGGCCGCCGCACGGCTCACCAGTTCGGTCGCCGGTACGCAGGACGTAGGCACAGGGACCAGCACCCCCACCCTGCTGACGCGTAGCATACCACTCACGAAGTTGCTGGGGGGGCGGGGTCTCACGAGTGCGCTGCTGCTGGCGCTGACCACCACCGAAGCCTCCCCGCTGCACAGAGCCACCCCGACCAGCTCCACCACCGCCGCCGCCACCGCCTCCACCGCCTGCTCCTCCGCTCCCACCGCCACCGCCGCCGCCGCCGCCTCCGCCTCCACCGCCGCCACCGGAGCCCCCACCCCCGCCACCACTCCCACCGCCACCCCCACCCCCTTCGCCGCCTCCACCGCCACCACCACCGCCCCCGCCAGCTCCTCCAGTGCCCTTGCCGTTGCGGCGTCTCCCGCTAGGGGCAGACGCATCACCGACCGACTCGGTGCCAACAAGGTCGACAGCAGCAGCAGAGGCAACAGAGGGCAAAAGGGGAACGGGGGAGCACCCCTCAAAGAAGGGGGCACGAGGGTCACCAAGAGAGGCTCCTACAGCGACTATGCTCTTCTCAGCTGCAAGGAGGCGCTCCTCGGGGAGGTCAACGGTGAGTGTGGTGGGGCAAATAGAGAGGAAGTGGTCCCTGACCGAGCGAACGGAGTCAGGGAGCCGGGTGACTAGGTAGTAGAGGGTGATGTACATGGGGGGGGGGGGGGGTTCTTAGGCGCAGAATTCAGTAGGAAGCGCAGCGCGGTAGCGGGTGTCACTAGTGCGGAGGTGCGTAATGAGGTCAGCGAGTGTGGGAAAGGCGGCGAGGTCAGGGAACAGGTACGGCAGCATGAGGCGACTAAGGGCAGCTGTGGTAGGGGAAGAGATACGTGCAACTACAGTGTCGTACAAGGTCTTAGCACTCTTGTACTGACTAAAGTTCGCGCGCTCAGAGGACGGCAGGTGACTACGCACAGCAAGACGGGTAGTAGCATCGCGTGTGGTCCACTGTGAGCGAACAGTACTGTCACCATCGGCAGCAAGGGCGGCAGAGGCGCCAGACATGAGTCGAACAGTGAGAGACCGTCTTTGCGATCGGACTGCAGGAAAAGCTGCAGATCATCGACCCAGACCACAAAGTCTACAGCTCGACCCTCGGCATCAAAAGTAAGTACATTGGGAGTAGCCATGCCAGCAGCAGTAGCGGCAGCGCGACTCGGCTAAAGGGGCGCGGCTCGGCAGGGCGCTTACCAGTGGCGAGTGGGTAGGGTGGCCGCGACCGGAGTGGCTGGGCCGAGGTGCGCCGGGAGGGTCGGGGCCGTAGCTGGGCAGGAGGGTAGGGCCACGGGTCAGCTGCAGGTCAGGGCCGGGGCAGCAGGGACCGCAGCAGCGGCGACGGCTCGGCAGTGGCAGCAGGGCCGCTATGGTGGCGGCTGCTGTTGCAGCAAGGACGGCGACGGCAGCTGCTGCAGGGACGGCTGCTGCTGCAGGGATGGCAGCTGCTGCAGGGACGCGGAGGACAGGGGCGGCAGGGCCGCTACGGCAGCTGCTGCTGGGCGGCGACGACGGGGTGGCAGGGCGAAGAGCCGCGAGAGGGGCCGCGATGGGCCGCGAAGGGGCCGCGAAGGGCCGTGAGAGGGGCTGTGAAGGGGCCGGGAAGGGCCGCGAAGGGGCCGCGAAGGGCCGCGAAGGGGCCGCGAAAGGCCGCGAAGGGCCTTAAGAGAAGGCCGCGAACCGCCGCTAAGGGTTCGCGAAAGGGCAACGAAGGGGCCGTGAAGGGGCCGCGAAGGGGCCGCTAAAGGGGCCGTGAAGGGGCCACTAAGGGGCAGGGCACTAAGGGGCCGTGAAATTTTAGGGCAGGACGCGAAGCGCGCTTCGGGTAGGCTATTTTTTTTTTTCGAAGGTGGGCCCTAGGAAGAAACGGTCCCACTAGGGAACCCGCTCTATACCATGTGAAGAATGAGGGAATTGATTGACTAGGAATGTGAAAGGTACAAGTACAAAACCCTAGAATATCTATACCCCCTATTGTCTACCCCACTACAGCCTACATAGGCTATATCATATATGTCTGACAGGAAGACCTAGGCTAGCTGCTGAGACAAAATGGTTTGTCGCTAGCTGCCAGGTTCGTGATAAATATTCACAGACATGGTTTGGTGAAATCAGCCAACAACAAAATGATGAATTGCATACAAGCGCTCTGAACGACTCTTCATTCCGGATCCAACGAGCCTATTCGAACTTTTTTGTGGCCAAAACCTTCGTGTCACTGGAATGTTTTTGTCGTGTGACTTTTCTGTCACAGATGTGTCCTACAAAAATGTGACATTAACGTCACATTTTCTCTGTGATGTTCCGTATGAGTTCGAAGACTTTCTGTGAGCTTTTTCGTAGAAAAACCTACGAAGGCCAAAATTCTGCGTTTGGCTTTTCCGCGATGTTGAGATGGTAGTCCCTCTGATATAATGGTCGAATCTTCCTAAACGACGACACATCTGATGGAGGGATTATTTTCCAAACAATTTAGTCCGATAAAGATATGAATGAGCTACTAAATTGCCTCATAAAGCAAAGCAACCTAGGTTGTTCAACTTGGTCATAGGCACGAGCGAGGTTCTGACACTGTACATTTACTGTTCACTGGGCTGTGTAAGAGCTGTACACAGAATGACAAGACAACAAATATCACACTTCTCAAGGGCTTTCTGTACAATATGTTTCTGGTGACTCTGTCGAATCCGAGTTGGGCATCGGGTTTACCATGCCACCTGGATGTGCGGGAAATGCAAAAATGTATAAATTAACCATAATTGTCAAGTGATGGATCGGGTAGTCTCGACGGAACTATAGGGAGGGAAGAGGCGTGGAAGGGAGTTGGGATAATAATGGGAGAATTGTCATTCGTCAAGTTCCTAATTAGGTATTAAGTCTTACTAGGACGATTTCGTCTAATTTAAGTGTCTCACCAGGCCTCTAGCCTCATTGACACCCAACCAAAGCTGTAGTGCATGAAACGCCAATCTTGAGAAAACTAGAACGAGAATGGATGAACTAAGGAATGAAAGTGGTACAAATATGCAACCCTAGAAATGTGTACCCCATATAGGCTACCCCACTACAGCCTACACAACATTATGATTTGATAAGTCTTAGAGGCAATAGTTCCAGCAAAACCTTGCTGAAAGTGTATGTTCTCTCGGCGTAATTTTAAATTATGTGATGTTACAAAGTTTCTTCTTATTCACGCTTTGAAAGTGTAGTTTATTTGAAAAGTAGTGGTCGAGAATGATCACTACTACTGAGCCCTGGCATATGTCGACTGTAGCAACTTTCTCGATGAGACAAAATGGCATACATCGAGTCAATACAATACGGTGTGTACGTTGACATCAACACAATCGATCGTACGTGAAACATATGGTTGTTGTTTGACCTTTGAGCTTCTAGTGTCCCCCCACTACAAGGCCGAAATGTTTTTTTTTTTTTTTTTTTTTTTTGGTATCTCCCAACTCGCCAGACACCACGCACACGGAAAAATGAAGTATAGTCAGATTACCATTTCTTGGTTGAAATGTATACAGTTTGTACAATAGAAGAAAATCGCAATGACTTTAGAATGAAACCGTTGTGATGACATGGTAAAACTAACCTAGACCCGGTGGAGGACCTCGATCGAAGGTTAGTCATAATTATGGGTTCGGATGTGATGTAAAAGGCGGGGGGTGATTTCGAAAAGGTTTGGGACATCTGGCATGAAGCCTTTGTAATGTATTAATTGTGCAATGCATTCTTGAATAATTGCTCGTTATACTTGTTCCTACGTTCTCAATAAATACTCCCAATAGTAAACCAAATTTGAAATTTCGCATGAAACAGTTGTGATGATAGGGTAAAACCGACCTAGACCCGATGGTGGACATCGGTCAACGGGAGTTGTTTTAGGCCTCGTCATCGCTTGGGTAGAGCCAAGGACAGCGGTCGAGGAGGCGGAAGTCGACGTCGGGAGTGCTGGCTGTGCGGTGACCCCGATCACCTTTCCTTCGAATGCCCCGATCGTAATGATTCCGATGACGATGACGCCAAAGGAGGCCGCGGGAAGTCTGGCAGCCGTCGTCCTCGTCGAGGAGGAAACCAACCGCGCAAGGAGAAGTAGTCGAACAAGTCGACCTTGGAGAAGGACGCCGACTCCTCTGCTGGTGGCAACGGGCGAGACGACAAGGCGGCGTTGTGCTCGCTAGTTGGCGTCGTGGAACCGACCGTCTCGCTGACACCGGAAGTCAGCGAGGACTTCCAGGCGGTGGCGGCAGCTGTGTAGGCAAACCCGGCGGTGGTCCTGCTCGACAACGGCTGCTTGTACCACCTGATGGGGACGAAGGAGGCCTTCGTCGACTTGGAGCCGAGCGGCGATGTGAAGCACGTGCACGACTTCAATGGGGCACTGCAGGATGTACAGGGCCGCAGCACTATCGCTCTGCAAGGGGAGGCCGGGAAGCAAGTTCTCATCCCCGATGTGCTCTACGTTCCGGGCGTGCGCGCGAATCCACTTTCGGCCGGGCAGCTGAAGGAGAACGGCATGAAGCTGCGAGAGGACGGCCACGGGATGTTGCTTGTCTCGGCGACGAGAGAGGTGCTCTGTTGGGCGATGTACACCGGACGTGTCCTTTGCACCAACTTGCGTCCCTGCTCGAAGAGGTCGACGTCGCCCACAACGGAGGTTGTGGCCCTGCGGGCGATCGCCTCGGCGACAAAGTCGGTGCCAGACAGGCTGCCTGCAAGGCTTGCGCACGTCGACATTGACACCATACGGAGCTCGGCGAAGCACAAGGTTGCCACTGGGCTGGACCTCCAGTCGGCGTCAGGAGCCGACTCACCGTGTGTCTCGTGCGTCGGCGGGAAGCTGACGCGACACACCTTCCCCGACCAGGGATCCGACGCGGACGACGTGCTGGCTGTTGTGCACATTGACCTGTGCGAGCCTTTCCGCATGGCTGCCAAGGACGCCAGCCTATACTTCTTGCTGCTAAAGGACCGCAAGACCCGCTACGTGTGGGTGAGGCCGGTCGCAAGGAAGTCGGATGCCCTGTAGGAGTTCATGCGGTGGCTGGCGATGACTGAGCGACAGTCGAAGAAGTCGGTGTTGATGCTGCGCACTGACCGGGGAGGGAAGTTCCTCGGAAAGCAGTTCACCGACTTCGTCAACCGCAACGGGATCCTCCACAACCTGACCACGGCAAGGTTTGGGACATCTGGCATGGAGCCTTTGTAATGTATTAATTGTGCAATGCATCCTTGAATAATTCCTCGTTATACTTGTTCCTACGTTCTCAATAGATACTTCGAATAGTAAACCAAATTTGAAATTTCGCAATGGCTTTAGAGTGAAACAGTTATGATGATAGGGTAAAACCGACCTAGACCCGGTGGTAGACATCAGTCAACGGGAGTTGTGTTAGGCCCCGTCCTCGCTTGGGTAGAGCCGACCTCGTGGTCGGGTGTACGGGGGAGTGCAACCGACTTGGAGCTAGTCGACGAGGTGGTCGACCTGCGCGGGGGTCACTGCTCTGGCGCCGACTTCAGGGCGCCGACTTTAGGGTGGTCGACCAGGTGGTCGGCCTGACCTGGTGGTCGACAAAGGAGGGGCCGACGTCGACCTCGACAGGGGAGACGGGGGACGTCGAGCTGGAAGGCATCCAGGAGCAGGACACGGAGCAGCTGGGCGTCAAGTAGCAGGGCGTCAACTTGGTGACGCCGACATCAGGTAGCCGACTAGTGTGATTGGCTGACTAGTGTACTGGTCAACGTGGAGTTGGTTGACCTGAAGTGTCGTCAACCTAGAGCTGGTCGACCAGGGGAGAGGTCGACTTGGTGAGGTCGACTGGAGGTGGTCGTGGGCCTGAGCTATGAGGATCTAGGATCGAGCTCAAAAAAGAGAGATTGAATTGAATTATCACCTGGGTACAACACGAGGCTATGTATAGGCTCGACACAAGGCCCCGTAACCACGTGTTACGCGAAGGTTCCGCGGGTCGCGAAGCGTCCCGAACAGATCCTTCCCGAATTTG